CCCAAAACCCCCCCCCCCCCCCCCCCCCCCCCCCGGGGGGCTTTAATAAAATACACCAAAATAAAGCCAGCATGAATCAAGAATTAAAGAAAAGACTCACTCGCACCATCACCCATCCCCAAGAACTCCTCAGGTGTTACCCTAGGATCCGTACACGCGACTACCTAAGGTAATCCCCAAAATCAGCCCTCCATTCCATCCCACCCCCCCTCTTTCCCCCCCACTTTCCCACCACCACAACAACAACAACAACAACAAACAAACAAACCCTCAAAAACAAAACACAAATATCTAAAAAAAAAAATCTTCTAAACGGGTAGATATATACGCACAATCACCGTCCCATCCGACCTCTCTCTTCCTCTCTTCTGCATATCCAGAAACCTAATCGGGGACTTGTAGTTTGCGTCACCGGCCCATTTCCTGAAACGAGGTCGCCGCGGTTGAGGGTTAGTTTTGCTGCGCTGCTTTTTTTTTTATATGGGAGGGAGGGGACATGAATCGAATGAGGGAAGGGGAGACGAGAGGTTGGTTACTTATTGGCCTCTAGATATGCTTGGATCCGGGGATCGGGTGTGGCTGGCATTGTTGCTTGCTGCTGATGATGATGATAAGGGGTCGCTTTGGGAAGTAGGGTTTATTTGCGGGGTGGGTTAAGTTAAGTTATGGGGGGGAATGGGTAAAATATGAGCTTGAATGGTTTATTTACTACTAGATGTAAAGGAAGCATACCTTATAGAGATAATAGAAGGAAATGCATAGGTAAGGTAGCCAGGTAGTCCCTTGGAAGTTGGACCCTTGATATGCGGAAAGATAGGGAAGGGAGCCTCTACGCCGCTTCAGCCATCGCCGCCGCCCCGCCGCTGCTCTTATCGGCCGATTGAGTATAAGGCTGACGTCGTAGTTCCGTAGGGATCTATTGCATAGGGCCCTTTGATGTGGGGTAAATCATCCAGCAGAGCCGCAGTGGAGTGAACGGCGAGGAGGAATGCATAATCAAAGTAGATGTCACAATTGAAGATAGCAAAGCAAGCTCTGGAGGAATATTATGGAAGAAGTACCTAATATATATTTCACACCCGCTCCGATCAATATCCCTCGTAAGGGGTGTATCCATATCGATCAATCTAAATCCCAAGAGTGAACCGCCCAATCCAAACGCCAGCCCACCATCTAAAAAGTACGCCATCCCTATATCTACGGGATTCAAAATCAACGCAAAGTCCGCTAAAGTAACCAAAGAACCTCCCCCTGAAGCATGCGTAAAAGCGCAATGGCTTATTATGCAGGCTAAATAATGTGTATTAAAAGATAGGCAGCGAGTCTGGGTATACCACACACAACCGCAGCATGAATTAACAATATCGTCCAACGGGACAAAAAAGGCCTCCGTCGCCGAGCAAGCGTATGTTTCCTATATCGGCCGTGTACTCGTAGGGACTTCGTAAGGTACGTGTGTATGTGGCGTGAATGTGTGCTTAGAAAGTGCTCCAGTTCCAATCTCGAGGCACGCTTGCACCAAGACTTGCAGGCGCACCTGGTTCCTTCTGCCCGAAGACACTGCCCATTGCCGATCGCCCATTGCAGCTGACGATGGGCGTTGTGGGTGTTCTTGGCTCGTCGTGGGAACTGTCGCTATTCGAACGGGTGTGCCTGGCAACTTGCCATGAACAGTATTCAAACCAGCAGTGTTCACAGGCGCGGCTTCGTGTGCCCTGAGGGTGATAATTTGCATCTTGATCGAGGGGGATGTTGTAGAGGGAATGCAGGTCACAGAAGATGTTACCGCACCGTCGACAATGATGCCGCCGTGTGAAGTAGGTGAAGTGTCTTGTGCAAGTTGGTTCGTCGCAAACGGACGATTCCGAATCGGGCTGTGGGGAAGAGGACGTTAGTATAGGAAACACCCCGATACGTAATGTAATGTATTGGAAGCTCAGATGTGTGGCTGATGAGAATCCGCTTTTAACACGCGAGCAAATGCCTAGCCAAGCGATGCGGTGGGAATGTTCGATTATTGCGGCATTATTCCAGCACGCAATCCCCATCCGGGTATTGCACCACAATACCCGTCAGGGTACTATACCACGGCCCCGGGGACGAATATAAGAGATAGACCCCGCGCTCTGACGATGGTGCCACGATAGAAAAAGACTCCGGTGGGTTTTCCCCAAAACACAAAATACGAAATACAGGAGCATCCGCCAAACGTACCTTCCAGTGTTCTCTTGTCGGCAGCGCCGTGACCTTTCCAAGACCCTCGGTGCTATATTCCGTCTCCGTTATCGAGCCCAGATCAAATTTTCCGCTATCTCCCGTCAATCGTCTGCTGTGTGTCCGCGCATTCTCTAACGAGTCAATGCTATTATGTATGCTCGCTGGCGGTGTTAGGGGTGACTTTGCCGCTCGTTTCGGAGGGTCCGTGGGCCGCAACACTGCCGGGATATAGAGAGGAGATTTCGGCGGTCGGAGTTGTCGAGTATGTGAAGGGAGGAGTGCCGGAGCACCGGTTCGAGGAGATGTCGGTGAGGAATTGCTGGGCGTTGCTGTTGCAGAACTGGTAGGTGAAATCTGCCGCGACTGGGGATTGTAAAGGGCATACTGCGATGGAGACGCAGTATACTGTTGCACAGGCATTGCAAAGTCGGTTGCCATTATGCCAATAGATTTGTGAGGGTATTAAAGATCAACGTCTTAGGTGGTGCGGGCGTAGGATGGAGGGGCAGAGGAGAGCTGAGGGCCTGTCGATCTGTCTAGAGGAACATTCAGATCAGAATGACAGGTATGGCTTGCGCTTTAGACAATGTATCGACTTCGAGGACTGTGGCGGAGAACAGGCGACAAGGCGGCGAAGGATTCGCTTTCCACTCCTGCTGTCCAACTCACGATCCGGGGAGGGGGCAACCGAGTCACTCTGGTTTCACAGCGTTGTCGTCCTTCACTCGAGTGGTCGTAAAGTAGTTGGGTATTTGTCCGGACTTTGAGGAGACGACGTTGTCAACTGGCTACCAGAATTCGACGTCGGAGCGCACAGTAGAGTTCCTTGTTCAATGGAGGCAAATATGGCTGGTGTTTGGTGTTGTGGCAATATACCCGCCCTCGATAACAGCCTGACCGATCTGTCGCGTAGGGTGGCGGAACAACTTTATGTCTTATACTCGAGGCGAATGTGGAGGTGAGTTCACTGAAGATGTCTCCGGTAAGAAGAAGGACTTGTAGAACTTGTAGTGATGAACTGCTGGATTGTACTCTGCGATGGATGGCAGGCCCTCGAAAGGTGGAGGGTCGATATTCCTCCTCGTACATAATAGCCCAGAATCCCGATGGGTCTCAAGTTCTCAACTCCACTTTATCTCCCAAGATAGTCCCCAAATTATCAACGGTCAGCAAATGATTGGAGGGAGCGGCATCTGAACAAGGGAGGTTGCCAGAGATGGGCCCAACGACCGACGGGGCTCGAGACTCGAGGAAGAAGGGGGTAATATCGGGCCCTTTGCCGGGAACATGGTTCGAGACTCGGCTTACACACCTACCAAGATGCTGGGTACGGAGTAGTGGGCGGCACCGGTGAGAGTAGTGTGAGCGTAGTGTGCGCCTAGTCGTCGTAGTCTCCGTCCGCACCGGGTCAGCCACAACCCTGGCGCGGATAAAGGCGCTGTTGGTCTTATGGGATTCCTTTCCTCCGTGCAGCAAGTCCCTCTGTATCTCCTGTTCTCTTCCGGCTTATCTTCAGCGGCGTTGCCTCTCCTGAACAAGAGGGAGAGAGCGGCCGCAATCGCAATCACACCCCCAACCCTCCCAGCTGTCAGCCGCATCGTTCGTCATGTCTCTTGTCAGTATTCAACTCGAAGATCTCGATTCCCTCTGATCGTCGACCCGCCAGGCCCCACTGGGTGTCGCGTGTGCAGAGGCTAAGAAGCAGCAATCAAACCTCCGCCGTACATACACGGAGTAAGCGGTACCGTGCTTAAACGGCCTTTGAGTGGCCAAACTGTCAGTCTTATCGTGGAGATGTGATAGGCTGCTGATACATCGACCCTCCGGGAATTTCGCCGCGTAGAAAACACGCACTCCGATTAGCCACGGACGAGGCGAAAGTGGCGGCGGTGAGGGCGAAGGGCGATCGTATTGGAGCCCTGCTGACGGTTGTTCGGCTTCTGATATCGGCACCCTGATCAGGATGCCTACACGAACATTATCCGATGGCCGGAAAACCCCGTCATGCAACTAGTCCCCATGCGGACTCATCGTCGGCAACAGAAAGGAGTCAAGGCTCAGAGCCTAAAGCCTAACAGAAGGTCACTCACTGCAACTCTGCAAGTGCAACACGGTACACCAGACATCGACTGCAAGAATTCAGTTAGTCGGCGATCATCAATATACCACGGAAATGTCTCCGGAGCAGAATGGTAGGGGAGGGAGCATTGAGGCTGCGGGGTAGATGGAAAGGCGGCTTGGGCCTTGGACATCAATGAGCAAGGGCAAGAATATTGCCTGGGGCAGAAATCGCAGTCGGGTTTCATTTGCCGTTCACTTATCCCATCGACGATCGCTCCAGCCTCCAACCGGCTGTCCTCTGCCCCGAAGAGACATGAACGCCTGCACTACTGTACACTGCACAGTAATAGCGCAACAAGGAAAAAAGATCCAAGCTCTGGTGCATAATGATAACTTTGATTGCAGTGCGCTGTTTTTAGGATACAGGGGATATGTAGTCAAAGCACCCTCAAAACCGACACCGCACGCGCGCCACGAAAATTGATGCATGTCTTTCTTCGTACCACTTAATACAGTACGTATGGTACGTTGTTGAGGCTACTCATGACTGGCACGCATGTGTTAAAGGCAATATGCAAAACAATAAGACAAAATGGAAGAGCAATATGAAATTGAAGTTGAGCGTGAGGGGTTTTGACGTGGATGCAAGAGGGAACCAATGCCTTGATGATTTGTCGATCAAAGGAAAAGGGTTGCAGGGAGAAGGCCAAGTTGCACACCCTCAACTCTCGAGGGGCAACGGAAACTCCTGCTTGCTCCGTAGACTTTACCTCTACCGCGGAAGGTGAGGGGTGGTGGTCTGGCCTTGCACGAGGAACATCTTCACAGTGCAAGTGGCGCTGGCTGATGCGGCAACCGCAACAAGGATTGCGCTCATGTGCAGGGGCGGGCAATCTAATAAAGCATCTGAAGTCCACGTTTGAATAACAAAGAGAGTTGGAGAAGAAGGGGTTCAGCTACCAGTAAGCACTGTGTAGGAGCCAGGCGGTTCTCACTATAAATCCCATAAGTCTCTTAACAGTTTTACTGGTCTCCTCTCTTCTCTTCCCGTCCCGCCCAACTACCACGTGATGGCGGGGCCCCGCATTCCGGATCGGACCTGGAATGCCGGCCTCAACCGAGGTTCACGTGCACCGTCCCCCTTCAAGCTACCAACACAACAGACTGGTGAACCCCCTCCCTTCGACCTCAGCTGGCCCCTCTTGCTCTCTCTAAGATAAGTAACAAATTGCCCATTTGCTCTTGGTGTGTTTGCTTTCCTCAATTCACGCTTCAGATTATACATAGCCATTCATTCCTTGCTCTCCCAGCAGTCATCAGTGTGTGTGAACCTCTTTCTTTACCCAGAACGAGCAGCATGAACTCCGACCAGATAGAAGTTCTCGCCCCTCTGGCGACCCCATTGCCGGACCCTCCGGTTGGTGAAGCCTTCACCCCAGAGCAATGGACAATCTTGCTGGCCATCATGGACGCGGTAATTCCGTCGGTCCGGAGAGAAACGGACGCGGGTGACAAGATCTCACAATATACCCTAACGGATGCGGAATATAACAAAACTGTGGACCACTTGAAGAGAACGGTGGTCGATACTCCTGATAGTCAGTCTCTAGAGGAATATTTCCTAGAGAGGCCATCAGAGAACCCTAGGTTCCAGGACTTGTTGAAACGAATTCTGGTCGTCTACTCTCGAGACGATGTTAGGAAGGGTCTGGCATTTGTGTTATCGGCGCTGAAGTAAGTAGATGAAGGGAGAATAGAGCTTCTTCCAAGTAATGCCTCTTCGGCTCATGGAAGAATCAAACTGTCGGGATCGGTAATCATATCCATCAGCTGACAAGAGGAATAGCACCCGCGTCGGATCACTGATGCTGACTGGATATAACACACCCTTTCACAAACAGCCAATTAGGATCCGGCAGTCTATTCTTGAAAAATGGCGCCTATCATACCTCCCACCTCTGAACGCCCTCCATAAACAGATGACATTGGTAGCCAAAAATCTATGGGTGAAGACCAGCCCTACTCTTAACCGAGTCGCCGGGTTTCCAGAAGTTCCTCTCCATTACAAGCCAGGGCCACATTTTGAATACGATTTTCTTCAATTCCCAGCGGGGCAGGAAGCTGCGGTTATCGAAACGGATGTAGTGATTGTAGGCTCTGGATGCGGTGGTGGTGTGTGCGCCAAGAACCTGGCGGAGGCTGGCCACCGGGTTTTGGTCGTGGACAAAGCTTACTACTATCCTCCATCATCACTACCAATGTCCGAAGCTGAGGGTGGCATCCATCTATATGACAATGCAGGAGTAACGGTAAGTGATGACGGCTCTATCTCTATCACTGCGGGCAGCAGCTGGGGAGGAGGGGGGACTATCAACTGGTCGGCTTCTTTGCAACCGCAGAATTTTGTGCGCAAAGAATGGGCCCAGGACAGAGGTCTTACATTCTTTGAAACGTCTGAGTTCCAGAACTGCCTTGATCGCGTCTGTGACCGTATGGGTGTTTCTACAGATCACATCCGCCATAACCATGGCAACGAGAAGTTGCTGGAAGGTGCGAGGAGGCTAGGATATCATGCCAAAGCGGTCCCTCAGAATACCGGAGGAAATGAACATTACTGTGGCTACTGTGCAATGGGTTGCTGGTCAGCCCAAAAGCAGGGCCCTGCTGTTTCCTGGCTACCTGATGCAGCTAGGGCTGGAGCGCAGTTTATTGAAGGCTTCCAAGTAGACCGCGTTCTGTTCGACGAATCGGGTGGTACAAAGAAGGCTATCGGAGTCAAGGGTACATGGACATCGAGAAATAGCCGTGGAGGCGTTGATGGACCATTATCTGAGCGCACTGTCCGAAAAGTAACCATCAAGGCCACGAGGGTTATCGTTTCTGGCGGGACCCTGTGGAGCCCCATCATCTTGTTGAAGAGTGGTCTCAAGGTAAGCAAATTCCTGGATAAAACTCGAATTTTACTAACATTTCAAGAACCGGCACATTGGACGTAATCTCTACCTCCATCCAGTCAATGTCGTGGCCGGAGTGTACAAAGAAGATGTGAGGCCCTGGGAAGGTGTGTAAATTTCACCCCTTTTCAATGATCCCATTAACCATTTTCAGGCGGGATTCTTACGTCAGTCTGCACCTCATTCGAGAACCTCGATGGACATGGCCATGGGGTCAAGCTGGAAGCCCTGGCTATGCTGCCCGCTATCTCTCTAAGCCTTATGTACTGGAACGCCGGCCTCTCTTTCAAAACGCAGGCCCTGAAATACAGGCACAGCAACGGTTTCATCTCCCTCGTGCGTGACCGAGACACCGGCCGTATCTACCCTGATGCCACCACCGGTGTACCAAGAATCGAATACTCACCCAGCGCTTTCGACAGAGCACACCTCATGGAAGGCGTCATTGCTCTTGCGAAAATCTGCTACGTGACCGGGGCAATGGAGATCCATGTCTCGTTCTCCGGATTAAAACCCTTCATACGCAATCCAGATCCTGAAGATCTGGAAACTCCCTCCGCCTCTCCCGCCGACGACATCGACCCCGGGATCACTGACCCGCGCTTCGCCGCCTGGCTCACGGAGCTGAAACGTGTAGGCAACAAGCCACTGGGCGGTACCTACGCCACTGCCCACCAAATGGGAACGAACCGCATGAGTGTACGTGCGCGCGACGGGGTCGTGGATCCGAAAGGCCGGGTCTGGGGAACTGAGGGTCTGTATGTTGCTGACGCGAGTGTGTTCCCGAGCGCGAGCGGTGTCAATCCGATGATTACGAATATGGCAATAAGTGATTGGATTTCGAGGGGTATAAGTAAGGAGCTGAAAGGTTTGGGGGCCAAGAGGGCTAGGCTTTAGGATCTTGTAATACGATTGAAGTCGGAGACGTAGGCGCCTGTTTCAAGCAATACTGTTTACAACATCAGTGACAGTCAGTCGGTGTGAAATGTATGAAATGAAGTAAAGTAAATCAGTATTTTCAAAGAACTTTGCTGAGTCTCGTATCAAATCACAAGGTTTCGACAAACCGATAACCTAGTATAAAAGAAGATCCCAGCGCTCAAAGATATCAGTTCACCACGCCTTTCTCAACAGCTAGCTATCTAAATATTCCGAGCAATTCAAAATATTTCCAAAAGGTCCAAGAGTAAGGCTGTATTCATCTTACCTCGCTATGCCCCCAAAGAATGCATAATTCACCTCCCCAACCCCACCACCCTACCCTTTCTTTCTTTCTTTCCCAACCCCCAATCCAATCCATTCATCCATCCCCCGCACTATCTCCCAGATCCTCATCCAAAGCCTCCAACCAACAAATCAATTATTACCCCTTGCTTAACTAGGTACTCATCTTTATAAAATTCCGCAGCTACCTAGAGAACAATACTAAGAAGAACAATATTAAGGGGTTAAGCGAGCCCCTCATTCCCAATCACGAGATGTTTTCCCCCCCTCTATTTGGGAATTAGGGATTCGAGTAGTTATGTCTATTGGATAAAGAAGATATCTTGCATGTTAGTCTCTAATTTGAGGATGCTGGACATCGAATTATTTGACCCCTCCTTTTGTTCTTTGGTCATGAAAAAGTTATAAAACCCAGCGACCCCCCTCCCCCCGCCCTCTTTCTTCCTCCTTACATCGAAAGAAATCCTAATCCAAGCATCACATCACACATATACCACATAACAATATACTTGAAATTCAACCTATCACAAACCAAACCACTTTACAAAAGCTGGAGCTAAAAAAAATCAATTTTTTTTGTTTTTTTCAATGAAAGCGAAAATGGCTTTCCCATTCCATCCGCGCCCTCCCATAATCCCGACTCGGTCCATGGGCTCGCGTCCCACGATCATCTTGTCCTCCTCGAGTCCTGATATCGTGGAGAATATGGGAGGCATGCCGGCTTTGACGTATGAGGAGCTTTGGGGGGCGTCGATTTGAGAGTTTATTGGGTGGTGGTTCTTTTTTTTGGGGTTTTTTTTTGGGGGGGGGGGAGTTAGGGGCTCGGCAGGAGATTTTGGATGGTGTTATTTGGTTATTTGGAGGGGAAAGAAAGGGAGTGGGAGTGGAGACAGATTGAAAGGATGGTAATGGCAACTTTGTCTCGGGATCATAAGATCGAACGGCTGGGTTGAGGGCATTTTGCAGTTACCAGGGAAGGGAATTGAAAGTTTATAACTTTTGGCTGGGGCATGCGTTGAAGGTTGAACAATTAGTATAAAGGACTGCGAAATCCTCGGACCGAAGTAGGACGGAGCGAACATTCTACAGCGGGAGTATCACAAGGTCAAGACAAAATTCGTGGTGGTGCCAGATGCGTCATGTATTAATTTGCTCATCGTGTTTTCCTGTCATATTCGTCCCATTCAAAAGCAAGTTTTGTGCACGCCGTTATATCCCAGGCAAACAATGCCGGTCCATGCAAATGAAGTAACGCAAGCTATGCCATGTGTGTGCGGCCAGAACGCCTCCGAACAATCAAAGGTATCAATCGCTAAAGAGAGATATCCGCCAACTCCGGCTGCCTTCTGATGGATGTGTACGAAACGCCTCAAACTGATGGATGTAGCATGCCAGCATTTTGAGGAATGAGGTGAAGAAAGGAAATTGAATTAATGTTTTTGTGCTGGGGAATGGGAAATGGGAAAGGGGGAAAGGGAAGGGGAAGGGGAAGAGTTCAGTCCCTAGCTGAGGGGATTCCATGTGAACCAACTCGCCGATGGTTTAGTCCGCGAGAAGCTTCTCTGATCTCGGATTGCGCCCACTTTGGGATTTTCCTTGAAGTGGCACTGTCTGGGTTGGGAGTCGATCTCGAAGACGAAGTCGATGGTGATTGTGCTGCGCGCCTTCGAAATATGCGTTGCATTTGTCGTGCATCATCTGCTGCGTGAGAGTGTCTCTTGCGACCACTCTTGGAAGGACCGGCAACAGGGGTTCGCAAAGATCTCGGTGCAGGTCTATTCATTGCCTTGAACATTTCCGACTATAGTTCAATATTGGTTAGCGTTTAGTCTGAATTAAATCCAAACAAACCCTTGGTACGTTGACCAATGGAGAGCGAAGAATATTCATCGTTTAATGTCGACTGAGGAGAAGGAGGATTGTCGAGCGATGGGTGTGCTTCGACAGCACTGCCAAACGACTCTTTTGGAGCTGCGAAATTGAAATACTTCGGTTATCAACTCCTCTAGAGTCAATGGCCGCTTGTGCGGATATCTTCACAACGACTGATCAACTCGGCTCTATCACCCTGAGTACTGTAGTTATGGCGACGTAAATAATGTCTCAGCTCTCTTGGGTACCACAATTGGAACTGTCGAGGTTTCAACTGCGGCGGGCCCACCTGATCATTCCGCAATTTAGAGGTTGGCGGCGAGACTGAAAGCTTGTCTTGTAATGTGACTACGCCAGACTCCTTGGCCTCGGCAATTATTTCTTTTGAAGATGCTGTAGGTGAACGTGAACGGAAGGGAGGAATATAGAAAGGGGAATCTCGTGAAAAGCATACTTCTTTAATATCCGCAAATGCACTACCGCTTGATGAGCTTCGAAGCATTCGGCTTGGTTTGACGATACTGCGTACAAAAGATCGAGGGGTTATTCGCAAGTCAGCAAGTGCCTGGCACTTGTCCTTGTTGGCTCTGAGGGCCGCAGCTGCTTTTTCGACAAAAGATTTGATCGTGTCCTCCGTCGAATAGTCTGCGAGAGCCTCAAGAATACCCTTGGAGACCATCGTCGCAGTTTGCAAAGGTTCAAATACGGATTCAAAGGAAGATTCATATGCCTTCTTAAGAACATCAACAAACAAGTTTTCCATCTTCTGTGGAGCTGTAGGTAAATTTTCTACTTTTTGCTTCCTTCGTCGCTGATCGGAATTTGGCGTAACGCCAGATGGATGCTTGTTAGAAAGCTGGGAGTAGTTCGACATTCCAAACTCGGGTGATATACTTCTAGAGCGGTGTGCGAGCTCTGTCCCGAGAACAGGCGCAGGCCTATCTTTGGGGCTTGCAGAGCGAATTTTCGTATGAGCACCAAGAATTGGAGAGCGGTGTGGAAGCTCCGTTCTGGGAACTGGTACAGGTCCATCCTCGGCGCTGTCAGAGCTCACGGAGCTCACAGAGCGAGCTCTTGTATGAGCACCAGTAATTAGAGAGCGGTGTGCGAGCTCTGTCCCGCGAACAGGCGCAGGCCTATCTTTGGGGCTTGCAGAGCGAATTTTCGTATGAGCACCAAGAATTGGAGAGCGGTGTGGAAGCTCCGTTCTGAGAACTGGCACAGGTCTATCCTCGGCGTCCACAGAGCTCACAGAGCGAACTCTTGTATGAGCACCAGTAATTGGAGAGCGGCCACGTGTGAAATGAAAAGGATCCCTGGAAGTTTTGTTCTCAGCGTTCGCAGAAGCACTGGTTTGAGCTGCATCATCTGGTGGCGTTACGACTGGCGGGACAAAAGATGGAGCACCAATAGGAGACCCTGACAAAGAGGAGTTACTAGCGCCTGTCAAAGAGCTTTGCCGAGGAGGATTGAGTATCGGAGAATGATCTGTGAATGATGCTGAACCTTCAATGGTAGGTACTCGAAGATACGACGGAGCTTTTGATATAGCACTGAGATTTGTGAGCATGCCCGGAGTCTGTCCCATCTGCTGATCGAGTTGCAGCGCATTTCGCTTCTGGATCAGTTCCTGGAAAGCTCTGGGATTCGACCGTTTGAGTTTCTCGTCACTCAGCATACGCTTCACTTCTACTTCCTCTTCCGCAGTCAACTTGTCTTGATCGTCTTGCTCGAAAGTATCGGTTTGCACAATTGCTCGGATCGTGGAGGAGCCGGTCTGAGAAGCTAGGACCTTATCAAGAACCAATGGGTCCATCCCGACGAACTCGGACAAGTCCTTTTGCTCCACAAACTTGGGTTCAAAGAGAAATTCTCTCACTCGTTTTGAAGCCCACGCCACCGGGCTCTTCTTGTCGACGACTCTCGAAGCTAATTGCATCTTGAAAACAGCCTTGTTGTGGATGCTGTCTTCGAACGTTCCTCCAGCCACAAAGCGATACACGAATACAGGTTTCTTTTGGCCAATGCGATAAGCTCTGCCAACTGCTTGCTCTTCCATGATCGGGTTGAATTTGAAATCGAAGATTACCACGCGATTGGCCCCAAAGATGTTCAAACCAAGTCCTCCTGCCGCAGTGGATATGAGATAGAGTTCCGTGTTGCTCACGTTGAAGGCTTTGGTCGACTCTTGTCGCTTGCTTATGGTTGTACTGCCATCAAGCCTTGCATATTTCCTGCCTTGCGTAATGCACAGGTGTTCAAGGAAATCGAGGGTGTGAAGTGATTGCGAGAAAACAAGGACCTTGTCACCAGCTTCCTTAGAGGCATCGAGAATCTGACAAAGAATCTTGACTTTGTTTGACAGATTGATGGCCTTCAAGTCAGACGCCTCTTGCTTGAAAACCTCGGTGACTGCATTTATCAATTCTTGAGACACTCCGACCTTCCAAACGGGTGCATTGAGCTCAGCCGCGATTATCTCAGCTTGATCAGTGCTTTGGTCAGTGGCTTGATCTGTACCGGTTCGAGAAATGGAACCAGAGAGTACGCCCCGCTCCTTTCGGGCCTCTTCCTTTCGTTCATTGAGTTTCCTATTGAAGCATTCGGGATGGTTGCATAGCAGGGAGAGGATCGCGAGCCAGTGCCATACAGTTGTCTGAGAGACTTCTTTCGTCTGGCCTGATACCATAGACTGCACATAAAGCGAATACACTTTCCTTTGCAGGTCGGTAAGAGGAACTGTGATCACAAATTCTTTCTTGGGGGGTAGGTCGTTGCGCAGAACGGACATATCGGCCCGGTGAACTTTGGGAGCAAGATCCTCCTTCAGGACGCCGAGCATTTTCAGACTCCTACGTCTGTCGGAAGCTGTGCTATCGTGCCAAAGTCCATCCTGGATGGGCTCAACATACTTGACACGGAATTCAAGTGCAGGACCCAAGTAATTTGGAGCGACCCAGTCGATCATAGTATGATACTCCGCAACATTGTTTGCGAGCGGAGATCCTGTCAGCGCGATGCGACTCTTCGATCTGAATTGAGCCGTTGATTGTGCGATGGCACTATTTGCGTTTTTCATTTTATGAGCTTCATCCGCCACGATTATATTGGGCCCATTCAGGAGTTGATCTTTGACAGTTTTGTGATCCTCCTCATTGAGAGGTGCTCGGCGTTTCGCCGTGGTTTTATTCTCGTAGAGGGACCTAAACATTTCGTAGCCAAGAATAAGCACTCCGCCGTCATGATACCAATCGCTGATAACCTGCAGTCTTTCAGGAGTTTTGACAGTGGTGTCCACTTTCCGGAAGTGTCCCAAGAGATCTTTGGGGGACCATGTAAGGAGTTCATCCATCCAGTTATCTATGAGTCCAGCAGGACATAGAACCAAGGTTCTCGAAACCCGAAGGCTGGGGGGAACCTGTGAGTACACGGATTCATCGGGTGATGCAGATGCTTCAGCTATTGCGACTAGAAGAGTGATTCTATATCGATAACTTAGCATTGTAAAGTATAATATAGGGTCCATACTTACACTTGCATTGTCTTCCCTAGACCCATCGTATGGGCAAGTAGACAGCCTTGCATTGCCTTCTCGTCGGTGACAATTTGGTTCCACATAAATCGAACACCATCAATTTGATGCGGCTTAATCCGTGGAGCTATTTGTTCATTGACATAGACGAATCCTTGATGCTCAAACTTGCCATCGTTTATGATGATTTGATGCTGACCATCTATATGTCCGATCGATGTAAGCTTGCTTTGAAGCTTCTTTCGACGTTGTTCTTGTGCATCGAGTCGTAAGCGATCTTGCTCTCGCATGTCACGAGCTTCCTTGTCCTCATAAATCTTTCGCTTGCGTTTCTTACGTTGTGAACCAGCATCTCCTTGGTAACCATCGTCGGTGATAGTGCTGTGACAAAATGTGAGCACCATTCAGACCCCAAATAGAACGGACAAAACTTACTTGACAGCTCGTTCACGTTTGTCCTCCAGCTGCTTATTGCCATCATCCTCTTGGCCATCCATTAGACTCGACCGGAAGTAGCTTTCCAATTTTCGACAAAGAAGGTAAAACGCAGGGAACCATTCATTGCGCGCACTTTGAAGCTTTAAAAGGCGCCGCTCTGATGGTTTCTTTCGAGCATGATATTTGCAGTCGACGTATGTGTTGAATAGCTTGATAAAATTGATCAGGGTTTCAAAGGTATTGTCGTCCACGCCTTTAAGACTGCTTTTCGCCTTAAGCAAAGCTCCTATCACGCCAGACATATGATCCCAGAGTTCAGTTTCAGAGACGTTCGAGATGAAGGAGAATATAGCAGTTCTCGCAGCATCATTCATCTCCTTAAGCACAGATATGAGTAGACGTTCCCTGTCAGAAACACTGGCCCAAGCCTCGTGCGAGAACTTTGCGATGGCATCAGGGTCATCATAGGGAGGCAGATTATCCATATCAGGTAATGGAAGCTCTTCGTCAGATATGACAATAGGGCTACTACTCAAGGGGCTGTTGTGATTCGTGAGCTTGATTAGTGGTTTCTTCTTCTTCGGCATCTCCATTTTAGTAACAGGGCGGAGAGGACTATCGTCGGAAAGCATCGTTAGATCAATAGGTTCACTGGCGCTGTTTAGCGAAGCATGAGAAAAGCCAGGAGGTGTTGATTTTTTCGTATGATTCGGGGTTGATGGATGGCCTGGCGTGCGTGGGTTTGTAGCGACTGGCTTAACAGGCCCAGATTCTTCGTTAGATCCATCTGACATATAGTCAACATCATCATTTGAAGCGCGACCTTTGATAGAATTCTTCGAAGGCTTTGTTCGAACTGCAAATGATGTTTTGGTGAGATTATCCAAGCTTGCATCAGACGAAGTCGCACTATCATCATCCTCACTGTCTGCAAAATCCATCTCAACTGGCTCTCCAGAACTTGACGTGTCATCGACAATAAAATCATCAAATTCGTCTTCACCAGGGGAAGATGTCTCGAGGTCGCTTTCTATAAGCTCTCCTTCTCCATCTTCCTCAGCGCGGGCTCTTGGCTTCGTCGATTTGGAAAGTTTTTGTGGAGGTCTCTCTGGGGCAACTTTACTTTCTATAATAGAAATCTCCCAGATAGAGCTTTCACGATCGAAGATAGTCTGCTCCATGATGCGAGTCTGTCTTCGCACCTGACGTTGACTTGTCCAAATTTCGCCAACAATTTCCTTGCGCAGCTTCGGTATCCGATCATCAGTGATGTGGTAGAGGCGCTTTTGAATCACTCTGATACGCTCTCGCCGAGCCTCACGATTCTTGCGGAACTTTGTCCATAATCGTAGCGCCTTCGCTTGGTTTTTAGGTAGCTTCTCCTTCTTCCACTTGACGACCAATTCAGCAATGCCCTCATCAATCGCCTTGTTCACTTCTTCTATGCTGAGATGTGGTTTCTTCAGGGGTTTCAAGGGCTTAACAAGGGTTCCCCGTTCTCCCTCTATTTCTGCCCACGTGTCGAGATCATACTCGTTCTCTTCATCCGATTCTCCATAGATCGGAAGGACTTCGTCGCCTCCCTGAACATGTCGGTATTTCGCCAAGGAATCAGGATCAAAAGTCTCTCCATAAGAACCGAGCTCATGCAATACCCCTGAATTAAAAGTCACGCGATTGTCGTCGCCATCAGCCAGAAGCTTCTGTGGAGGTGCATCAGGGTCGACTTCGGGCCAAGATTGGAGTTCTTCGCGTCTAGAACAGGCCTTGCCATCCTCCTTTGTATAGAATAACGTGAAGGAAGGTTTGTGGAATCTTTCTGCAAGCTTTGTCGGATATGGGAGGATGGCAATGAAGGATTTCCCATCACGTTCAAAGACTTGCCGCTCTGATCGCAGGAAGTTTTTCATAACATGATGTATGTAAAGACGTCGTCCACTTGAAATTTGCCTGGCAACTTCAGAGAATTCGGTGGGATCTTCTGAAGCCGGAAGCTCTTGGCCTACTTCAGTACCCTTATAGAAGATATCATCGACAGGTATCTTCACTTTGCCCAGGTAGCCTTTCGCTTGGGACACTGAGAGATTTGATTTCGGCCGCTTGGTCTTCTTCACAGTCACCTTCCTTTCTGCCACAATTTGCTCGGTGCTTTTCAGAATCTGCTCCTCGACCAGTCCCGGCTTCCGAAGGTCATTGTAGTTAAGAGGCAAATCCGAGTTTGGATCAGACTGTCGAATGGGGACAAGTCTCTTTATTCCATCGTCACCAAAGAATACTACCCCTGGTTCAATGATCTGAGGGTTGTTATGAACAACGTTGTCTGCATCACTCGGAATTTCACGATCCCTACTCGGGTCGATCTGTGATGAAATCAAAGTCGGGGCGATGCGCTTAGGCTTCTTCCCATTATTCTCCGGGATAGGACTAGGAGCACTTTCAGATCGCGGAGTAGGTGGAATATGTTGTGCAACATTTTCGGTCTGTACGATCTCGTGGTCCGATTCGATGATCTGGGGAGACGAACTATCTGGAATCAGAGGTGCAAAATTATCGTCGGCATTAGCATGGTCTAATTTGCGTCGTTTGCTACCTGAAGCGTCCGAAACGACAAATTCACCACTAGCAGTTCGAGTATCGACCGGGGTAGGTATCCCTGGACTGTCCTCCAACGCTCCTCCAGAATAATCTGCTGCAGTGAGATAATTCTGGAAGGACGCAGGTGATTCTGGACGACTGCGGATAGCTGGTACAGGACCTTGCCCTATCTGCTGCTGCTGCTGCTGTTGCTGCTGCCCGAACGGCAAGGCACTGTCGAGTCCAAAGGGCGGGAATGGTCCACCAAGACCTGCGACACTAGGTCTGCGTAGAGTTGAGGTAAAGCTACGCGAAAAGTGTTCCTGCACATATGCTTGATAGTGTGCGCTCTTTGATCTGAGCTCCTCAATTGCTCTCCGAACAAAGGCTTTTTGGCCGAGAGTCTTGATGTCAAAATCTTTCCTTAGAACATCGTCGTCGATATCCAGTAGAAAGACACTTCCATTGACCTCTTGTTCCCGAAGAACACTCGCAAGTTTGGTAAGGTCCGGGGTTGATGTGGAGGTAGGGGGGTGCCAAGATCGATTGGGAGTACAAAGCTCTTGCACCACGCGGTCAATAGACCAGTCCCACGGGTCTTCGACCTCCATGTTTACCGGCGGAATATTCGGGTTAGAGGAGAAACATGAGGGTCTGGTATCTTGTTCTATCGGAGTGATCGAACGGGTAGACGATAGAGTACTACTGTCAGCTGCAAGATGAAAGTTAGCAGCGAACGCATAAATTTGATAATTCGCACGGCAAAGGCTAGGGATGGCAGTAGAAGTAACTGCAGGTCAAAGACATAGGATACATTGAGAGGGAGTAAAAGGTGATTGAGCGCAGGGTCTAAGGATGGCTCGCAAAGGAAGGCGATGGAGGAAAAGAAGAGCATGAAGATCGCGCGCACAATCGAAGGCAAGAAGAGCAAGGGGACTTACTTTGAGACTAACAAGAGTAGAACTAATCACTTATAGGATAGACACCGGGTGTTTGGATAAGGGATTCGAATGTTTGGTCGCGGGTGAACGTGTCGAATGGTGAGATCCAAGTCGACAGATCGGAGCGCGAAGCGCGCAGCGCACAAGTTGGCGGGCTCGAAAACAAGCTAGACGACGAGAGAGGGGCACAGTAGGAGGTGGCTTGATAAAGAAGAACAGTATGCGACCGAGAAGACGGCCGAATACTTGAAGAGGGGCGATGGGTAAAGAGGTAAGGAGGGGTCTTAAAGTTGACGTCCTTCTTGTCGCAGCACTTCACAAAAATTAACGCGGGCCCTGATGTCCAGTAGCCGCGTAGCGATATCCGATATATTCCCGAACCCTCTTATCTTAGCGTGGCACGTGACGTTTGTTTTATCCCCCACCTTCTATATAAAGGTATATCTCTGCGGGACCCGAAGTCGTGACAAGACGCCATCTTACAAAGCAGGCAGCGGGGCTTAATTCGACCAAAATCAGGGGAACATTGGGGGTCAGCAAGAGAAGAATAAAGTCTTCTCCAGCTGGGGCCTCAGCATCTGGTTGATTTTCCTCTTTCACTTCCAGAAACAAATTTTCTGAAGTAGAAATGGCGTCCCAAAGGACCCCTGAGGGCTCCTATCCTCCAGATCTAACGGCTGCAGAATCTGAAAACCTTGTTTTCACGATTAAAGACTGGTCAATCGCCCATGGTCTAGCTGTGAGACCACCACCAGCTCTGGTTGCTGCCGAAGCAGATCCTCATGGTGTATTGGCGACAACTGCACCAGTCACGTTATTTCCCAGCCCGTTTCCTCGTGTATGCTTTGAACAAGCCAGATCTATCCAGAAAGCATATAACCAACTGTATGCTGCAATTGCACAGGATGAAGAATTTTTAGGGGAGATTGTCCAAGAGTGAGCTGAAAATGCCGCATTTTCCAATCGATAGACACTGGAGTGAGGCTGATCAAGACAGAATACTTGAAGTCGACGAGTTCATCGCCGAGTTATGGCAAGTCCATTTGAAAGTTAAAGAGGAAGGCTATGTTCAAGTATGTAATCAGTTTTCCAAGGATCATAGATAACTGCTTACTTCTGTCCAGAATCTATCTTTAGGGCTCTTCAGGTCTGATTATATGGTCCATCAAGGTGACACGGATGCCGGCCCTACGATCAAACAAGTCGAATTTAACACCATTGCCTCTTCTTTTGGTGGGCTATCCGCCCAAACCTCAAATTTACACAAGTAAGTCACCGAGCAAGGTGAAAACTCCTCGAATGAACAACAGCACTGACTTTTTGCAAAGGCACTTGTCCATCAGTGATTATCCCTTACTCGAGAAACCAATCTTAACGAGTGCACTGGATCTCCCAGAAAACACAAGCACACAGTCCCTGGCTGCAGGTCTCCGTTTTGCTTTCGACACGTACATCAAATCAGGACCTAGCCATGATTGCTGCATAATCTTTCTTGTGCAGGATCCCGAAAGGAATATCTTTGACCAACGCCATCTCGAATACGAGTTGAAGCAGCATACATCCCCTATTCCAGTCTTCCGCTTACCTTTTGCCCAAATACTCTCCCACACCTCTATAGCCGATACTCCAAAGCGCCAGCTTCTGTACCACCTACCGAGCAATCCGTCAAAGACCTACGAAGTGGCCGTCGTATACTTCCGTGCGGGGTACGGCCCACAAGATTATCCCGATGCTTCTGCCTGGAAAGCCCGTCTGCAGATCGAACGCTCCAACGCCATCAAGTGCCCCACCATCCTAACCCAGTTAGCCGGTGCAAAGAAAGTACAGCAAGTCCTCGCAACGCCAAAAGCCCCTTCCGAGCCCTCCATCCTAGGCCGGTTCATGGGAACTACTTCAGGGTTGGAGGATCTCGAGAATACATTCACCAACATCTTCCCCCTGGATGACTCTCCCGCCGGGCTAGAAGCCCGCAAGATTGCCGTCGATCCCGAGCGCTGCAAAGGCTATGTGCTGAAGCCTCAGCGCGAGGGCGGAGGCAACAACATATACCGCTCCGCGATCCCACCCTTCCTAAAGTCTCTCCCTGAGACGCATTGGAAATCATACATATTGATGGAGATCATCACGCCGCCGCCAGTCCACAATATGATCCTGCGGAACGGCGTGGTTGAGAAGGGAGGGGTGATCTGCGAGCTGGGGATCTATGGGACGTGCGTCTGGGACGGGACGACGAAACAGTTGTTGCACAATGAGGGAGCCGGTTACCTGCTCCGCACAAAGGGAGACCAGAGTGAGGAGGGAGGCGTTGCAGCTGGTTTTGGATCGATGGATAGTTGCCGATTGGTCTGAATCTAGAGAAAAGCATCCAATCTAAAATGCGGCTGGGTACGTGTACCTTGTGAGTTAGGTAGGAGACATCCAGCTGCGGGGATAACCGGGTCCTTATGTTAGCCTGCTATGCTACATTTGGCTTTAGTCGAAGTCAAAATATACTTCCCCATTTCATTCATTTCTATCCACTGTATCGCACCTTCCTCTATATGCTGCTCATCTGTGAGCAGTCTGCTTGGTCATTAAGGTAGGTAGGTAAGGCAGCGAACGGACCATGGCTCCGGTTCAAAAGCGGCGTCTTTCCTTAGCAGGCAAGACGCTAAGACGCCTGTGACTCTTCAGGAACCAAGGGAACGTTTCCCATTTGAACCACGCTACCTATGCTGTACCAACGGCATTAAGCTATTATTCAACTTTCTGTTGCATATCTGTAGCCGGGCCGTTTCTTTCCGCTGTTTGCCGCGAAGCGCCTTTTCAACCTCCAGATTTACCCGCGATGGCTTGGTCTGTGTCAAAATATCCTTATGACAGTATTTCTTATAATCAGTGGACTTGATATAGCTTTTAGAGCCTATCCAAGATACTGGGGCTCGAGGGGGACTCGATCCTCTATTATTAGGAGAAGAAAGCTGTACCTATGCATCTCGTTTGAATCTTGGCAGCTGCTACGTAGGCGTTCAAATGGTCAGATGCCAACTGGGCATTTGGTAGGTCTTGCTTCTAAATCCTGGCTCCTGAACATCTACAAGTGTGGAACGGAGTTCCTCGCTTGACAACAGAACGAGGTATCACAATACCATATCTAAGGCTAGGGCTAGCGACTTCTTAGCTGCAAGGAAACCAAGATCTCTCTCTACGTCTTCCTGGGTATCCAATCTGCTGTCGTCTGAGCCATTCCGAGTGAGAATGTCGTGTGGCAGTTTGCTGGACCGCACTTACCTCTTTCGGCGATTATCTTCAGTTCGAATCGCAACAGGCCGGCCCAGTATCAATATCAACCACGGTCCTTTTGTCAACTGAGAGCCTTGAAACCCTGCGAGCTGCTGTTGGTCTATGATTTTAGTTGCTATTGATAGCACTTACGACGGAGGGGGTTCAAATCTGGGACCCTCGTTTCGTCTTCCCTTGACCCCTTGTTCATCTTTCGTCGGTACACTGTGATATTTATTCTTGTCAGTTCAGATTCAAGTTGCTACTCTCAATCAGGCCCAGTCTGCCAGAAGTTCTAATGGTTTTGGTTTAGCCTGCTGTATCTCTCATGACGTTTGATGTGATTTGATTTTCGTCTGGAGAATCTGGTATATATGCCTCCAAGTCAGTTGCATCCACCTTTCCTTCTCCCTTCTGACTACTGCACATATTGGACATATCAAGTTCCGCTATTCTTCTGCAAGCACGCCCAAGAATAAACATACAACATTTGAAAACTCCTTCACCTCTCACACCACAATCATGGCTGCCGCCGTGGACCACACCACTTCGGACATGCCCCCCAAGTTTCCCCTCGCTTATCACTCGATCAACAACGAAGAAGGAGCCTCAAATCCAGCCGATCCATCCAACAAAGCTCGTCTAGACGCAATTGCGAGGGCCGTCTTGAAAGCTTCATCCATCACCCCGAATGTAGACAGTCTAACTCGAGAAGATATCCAAGCAGCTCACATCTTGATGAAGATGAGTGGAGCTTCATGGTCAATTGGAGACGGGCAACCCAGTGATGCTTCTGACATCTTCGGCCTAGCCGGCTTGAAGCAATCAAGCATCAGCAACTCACCATATAAAGAGCACAAACCAGACGTGTTCACTGGATCTAAATTGTTCTCTTCCGAAGGAAAAAGGTCCCCCTCAGTCGAACCATCACCCGAGTCTTCTCCGCCGATAGAATATCTTGATCGAAAAGTCGGGCCTCTCGGACCGTGGCCATCTAGAGACTCTACTATTGAGGAATGGCAGCCGTTACTCACGAAAATGAATCTCAAACCCTGGCATTATCCGCCCCAAAAAGCGAAACCCGGCCACGCACCACAACACGGCTCGGTGAAGAGCGGGCTTCCAACGTGGAACTTTGTAATGTATATCATCCTCAACCGGATTCCTGGCGGCCGTCTGAGGTACAATGAGCTCTATCGGCTGAGCCTTGCTCTGTGTCCGGCTCTCGGACCCGTTGACGACACGAAAAACAGCACTTGTCGACATGGTCTTACGACAGGAACTGAATTTGGGATGGATGATGCTACTGGGGGTGGAAAGTGGCATCGTATCGCGACTCTGGCGGAAGAGGTGAATGCAAAAAAGAAGAAAGCCATAGAAGCGGCAGCAAAGAGAGCAAAGAAAGAGGAAAAAGCGCGAGAAAAGAAGGAAAAAGAAGAGGAAGCAAAGGAAGAGGAACCAATGGAGAAGGGAGAAGGAAAAGAGAAGACAGCCAAATCGCAAAAATCAAAAGCCCCAAAACGCACACCGAAAAAGAAATCAACAGGACAAAAGGCTAACAGCGAAGCAACCACAACCCAAACAGAAACACACGCAACCCAGAGTACCACGACGCAAACCAACCCAACCCCCCAAAACGAGGAAGAACCAGAACAGAGACCAGCCAAGCGCAAACGCACTCGAGACGCCAACTCCTCAGTCTCCGCTTCCCCCCGCCGCCGTCCCACCCCCACCCCGCCTCAAACCTCCGTCACCGCCGTCACCGCCGTCACCGCCCCCTCCACCTGGACCGAACCTCCACTCGCCCCTCCCACAGGAGTCCTCGGAAGATCCCCACGACCCGAACCCGAGTCTTCAACCAAACGCACCCGCAAACCGAACCCTAGATTCGAAGCTGGCCAGAACCCCACTCCCCCCAGCCGGAAGAGAAAGAGGTAGTGATCTCCGAAACCACTTCTGTGCAATCTGTTTCTGGTGTGCAGACCGCCTTTCCTCCCCCGTCCCACCCCTTCTTTGGTTTTTTGTCGGCGTCCTGTTGTTGTTCTTGTTTTGCGACCTGATACATGGCTTTTGGGTTCAGATATATATACCCCTTCAGGCCCTCGGAAGTTCAGATAAACCTGGACTGGATATTCTGGATGGAGGAATGGCGGATATTGCTTTTTTGTTTTTCTGTAGGCGTTTGTTGTCATTACATGGGATTTGATTGATTGCATGCGAAGTGTAAATCACTAGGAAACCAAAAAAAATAAAACAAGTATACAACAAATTGAAATAAAATAACTTCAGTTTTTATAAGTGAGAGAAGAGAAGACTGAAACGGGAAAAGTGATGCTCAGAGAGGACTTCGTAGATTGTATCTGTACACACAATTATATACCCTCCTCACGTTGCCATCTTTCTTCCTCTCTTTTTAGGTATTTCCTGTCCTTTCCTTCCATACCTTGTATATCGTTACACACACTCACACCTATCCCATCCCATCCCATCGCATCCCATCGCATCGCATCGCATTAACGCAGTCCAAATCTTCCTCACCATCTCTCACCTCACCTCATCTCACCTCATCTCACCTCTCATCCACTCCAATCCAATACAATACAGTGCACACCACACCTTCCTCCTTCTCTCACCCACTCCCCTAAAGAAAAAAAGGGGAGACCAAAACAAAACAAAAAACATGGATAAGAGAGCGAAAACGCCAAAAACCGCGAACGTCGTCAACAAAGTATAATGTCGGTGAGTTTGTTTTATTCTCTTGGTCGACGAGGGGAGGAGAGGACTTCTAATCTTTCTGTTTTTTGTGTTAGTTTTTGTTTTGGGGAGGAGAAAAGGGGGGAGAGGGGGGAGGGGAAGAGGGGGGAGAAGCTTACGCTGTACAAGATTCAGAGCGGAGCGGGGCTTGCCTTCGGAATCGGTGTAGGAATGCATCTCGGCGGAGCCTTCGACGTAGACTAGTGTTCTATTTGGGGGGGGAGGTGGATTAGTATATAATATATTTTTTTGATTGGGATTGGGATTGGGATTGGGAGAGCGTAGGTAAGTAAGCTTTTGTTGTTTTGAAACAAACAAACAAACAAAAGCATTCTGCACGCCTCCCCAAAATTCCCCTCTCCTGCAAAAGGGAAAAAAACAGGGGAATAACATACCCCTTCTCCAAGCCCAACACAAAGTCCCTCTGCGGGCCCTCGGGCACAAAGCTCGTGACGCGGAACCAGCTGGTCCGCGGGCTATCGCGCGGTCCCGAACTGGTCGCGACGTTGTAGCGCAGCACCTCGTGTCCCGTGCTCGTCGGGTGCATCTCTGGAGACTCGCCGAGTCGCCCGATGAGCGTCATCTTGGCGAAGCTTGCGAGGCCGCGCGCGTTGGAGAGCGGGCGGAGAGCGCTGGGAAGGACGTGCTGTCGCCGGAGGGCGGGGAGGGCGCGGGTTGTGAAGGACATTTTTGTTTTGTTCTTTTTTTTATTCGAGGGGCGTGGGAGGGGAGCGTCGTGGGTGCGGGATTGAGAGGGAGGTGTGGTAAGGTGTGGTGTGGTGTGGTGTGGGTAGTGCTGAGAGGTATGAGGTTCGAGGAGCTCTTTTGCTGGCGCGTCGTGAAGTTGAGAAAAGCGCGCTTAAGGTGAGCTGATTGATTGCATTATGTAAGCACGTGGCTAATGGTCACGTGATGTTTGAACCCGGTGAGGCTGATGTCGAGATGAGCAGGCGATGGCCACATGTTTCGGTGCTTAGTAATATGCATTAACTTAGGTAGCATACGAGGCATAGTTGTAGCCTTGTAGGGCTGATTGCAACCCTTGCCGGCTTCCTCCCCTGACTAGCTCATTCTGAGGCTCATCCATCGGTTTGGCTGGTCTATTCGATCCATCGGTTTGGCTGTACCTAATCCACTGGTAGGCTGCGCAATAGGTCCCTATAGGTTGGGTTTCTATAGGTAGGACCTAACCTATAGGGATCTAACCTATAGGGTAGGTTTAGACTAGTAGGTAGGCCCTAACCCATGACCTAACCTATAGGTTACTAAGACCCTAACACGTGATTTAAGCCTTAATAATATCACGTAGTAGTATAATGATTATAGTTTATACTAATCTTTATACTAATCACTTTGTAGGGCGTTATTTAATAGATTACATTTAGGAATTTACAGAAAATATATAATAGAATCGTGCCTCGTAACTTATAATCTTATTACTATTCTATTTTAAATTTGGCCTTATAGCCTTTTACCTCCTAGTATAGCATACCTAAGAATTCTATTACGTATAGACTACACGAGCTTTATATCCTTTTACTAAATTGTGACTCGTTTAGTATAGATAGCGGCGAGATTTGTTACTATATGTTGTTTGATTAGTATAAAGATTAGTATAATAGATCGAATACTTATAAGAAAACTTAGTAGTTAACATAGCCTCTATAGATTCTTGTAAGGCTTCTATTACGCTTCTCTAGACTCGGAATTCAGGGCGTAGCTAAAGCATAATCTCCTTTACTAGCCTTACAAAGGGGGCCTATAGTATTAACAGTTTAGTAGTCTTTTAGTACTTTCTTATTTCTCTTAGCGCTATAGCTATTAAATTTGTTAGTAGAGTTTTTATACTAATCTTTATACTAATTAACTTACTGCCTAGTTTAAATCTTTGTCTTCTAGCCTAAGGGTTTAGACCGTTCGGCTAGTTAGGCTAGTTAGGTTAGTTAGGCTGTCTAAGGAGCCTTTTGCTAGATTAAGGGCGGCGTACTACAGCTCTTTTTAGTAGTATAGTTAGAGTAGCTTTTAGCTTTAGGCTTTACGCTGTTTTATAATCGCAATCAACAAATAGTAGATAAGAAGACTAACAAAGTTAGTATAGTAAGAGGTGTAGGGGGTAAGAGGGTAGGGGGGGGCCTGTATACCGAATTAAGGTTAGCTTAATAAAAGAAAGGTAGGTAAGTAGTAGAGAGTTGTCTATTTATATATTATAAAAATAAAGGCTCGGCAAATTTTTAGTAAAATTAATTTACTTTATGACTAACTACCCTACTTATAGCGCTATAACAATAGTACTATATAATATAATAAGAATAAGGACAGTAAGACGCGTTAAACGCGTCTATCTATTGTTTATTTTAATTATTATACTAATATTTCTACTAATCACGTAAAAGAGTATTATAAAACATTATATAGAAAATTTTAAAGTATTATTTAAACTTATTACTAATTCACTTTTAAACCTCCTTCCCTCCTTTCTTTTTTTACCTTTATTTTACACCTATACTATTTAATAGTCTAAATATAGAACAAAGAGTCTAAAGAACTAAGAGTCTATTAAATTAGCCTAAATATTAAACAAAGAGTCTAAAAGTAAAGTTATAGCCTAAATATTAAACAAAGAGTTTAAAAGTAAATTAATTTTACTAAACATTTTTTACTTCTACTACCCTACCTCTTCTACTACTACCCTACCTCTATAACAACAACAACAACAACAATAACAACAGGTATAGTTTACGTGTTAATCTATACTAATCATTATACTAATCATTATACTAATCATTAACACAGTTAATTAATAATAATAACGACCTAATCTACGGCTTACCTTTTAAAGAATTCTTTTGATTAATCTATAGCTCCCTCCTTTTAAAGAATTCTTCTAATTAATCTATAGCTCCCTCCTTTTAAAGAATTCTTTTAATTAATCCGTAGCTTACCTTTTAAAGAATTCTTTTAATTAATCCGTAGCTTTTCTCTTTTCTAAGAATTCTTTTGATTAATCTATAGCTTTCTTCCTTTTAAAGAATTCCTTTAATTAATCTATAGCTTTCCTCTTTTTAAAGAATTCCTTTAACATAGATACAAGAAGGCATATAGTAGGTATAAGTTTACGTATCGATCTATACTAATCATTATACTAATTAATAACACAGTCAAATTTTAACAACTACAATAGTAACAATAGATAATAGTAACAGTAGAAACTTAAAGCGTAAGGCCGTAAAAGAGCTCTTAACAAACCTAAACACAATTAAGGCACGAAAGCGCTAGGACATAGACGACAAAGTCGTTAAAAAGATTAATAAAGTAAAAGCTACTAACTAAGGGGCCGTAATATACGCTAGAAAGAAAGTAAAAGAGACATCTAAATTTATTAGTACATCTAATGTATAAAAACAATAGATACTTAACGATGTAAGAGACCGAGTTCTACTATAAAGGTATATTTAACTTCTATATACTAAGGTATTTTATACTAATCTTTATACTAATCGATATTAGATCACGAACAGGAAAGGACTAGAAGACCTTAGCTCGAGAGCTAGGCTATAGTAAGATCGGCAGACAATTTACTATTAAAGATAATAAAAATCTTACCTAAGAAGATATTGACTTTAAAGAAGAAAATACTATATAATATAAAGAGATATAGCGAGAGGATAAAAAATTAAATAACGAAAGCGTTAACGAAATTAGCGACAATATTAATAAAAAGGGAGTTAAGGTATAGTAGAGCTACGTCTAGGTATACTAGTTCTATATTAGATTAGTATAAAGATTAGTATAACGCTAACTACGCCTAAGGTAATATAGCCTAAGAGTTCTGCCTCTAGTAGCGGAAATAGCGCTAGAGTAAGAGAAGCTTTTATCGTAAGGTAATAAAGCTTAAGAGAGGAGGAATAGAACGGCTAAAGAGAGATAGGCCGTATTATCTAATAGTAGATAGGTACGTGTCCTAGTAATTGTTATACTAATCTTTATACTAATCTACTATAAATAATAAGGACTTACGAGACTTCTTACTACCTAAGCGATTTTTTACATTAAGGGAGAAAGCTATATAGAGGAACATAGCTACGTAGTATAAAGAGGATAATAGATAAGTAGATTTACTAGGGCCTACGGATTAGTAGCTAAAAGATCTAGAGATTAACGATACAAGGTTTACGTTTTCTAACTAGCGCTCTAGGCATTACTAGGCGTACAGACTAATCTACGCTAATAAAGAGCCCTCTAATAGGACGTACGATCACGTCTTCCTGTCTAGTACAGACCTTTTTGTAATAGAGGATTCGATTAAGACTAAGGAGATACTAAAGGCGTTTTTTTACGTTTAATTTTCTATAGAAAAGAAATACAGAATAATCGTTCTTTTCTTTACGTACGACTTGTATTTAGTTATAATACTCTTATCTATAACAGTATAGCCTATAATTTATGTAGTAGAAATTAAGATGTCTAAAATCAAGGATTATTAGAGGCGTACTACATGTAGTAAAGATTACGATTCCTAAAATAAATAAACAAAGGGACAGCTAAGTTACTAATAGTATATAGTAGTAGAATCAAAGCCTTTAAAGGATCTTTAAGAATTCGTTGTTACTATAAGGACGTACTTAGTATAACTTAATGTATTATATTATATATTTATACTAATCTTTATACTAATCCCCTTAATTCCTCCTTTTTTAAACACAACTTACTCTTTTAAACATTCGTATTATTAAAAACTACCCCTTACGATTACAACATTATACAATGTCTTTATTATCTACTACTATGTTTATTCCTGATTCCTCCCTAGCTACGAACCTATTTAGTAATAACACTATTACTAACAGACCTTTACTAAATACTATTAGCTAAAGAAATTAATGTTTCTAGTAGACTAAAGACTAACATCACTAATTCCTTACCTAGTAGCTACAGACAGATTAGGTAGCTACAACAGTAGGTTTAAATAATGCTAACGTAGTAAAACAGCTAGGTTAAGACACAACTAAAAGATTAGTATACTAGTAACAATTCTACTAGGCTACAAATCGGCATACTAGTAAACTAGTAGTTGTATACTAGAAGTATTCTATAATACTTGCCTATCTTAATTTAAGAGTACCTACAACTAGTACTACTACCCTTATAAAACACCTAACGTCTAAACAATGTGTTAACGTATCTACAAGTTAAAGTTAAGGCTTACAAAGACAACTCTCCCTTTATAAGGCTGTTTTATTATCTGTAACTATAAGTATAACTAGTTAGTATAAAGATTAGTATAAACTAACTAGTATATATAGTCTACTACCCTTATAACTAAGGCTTTTTAGGACTAGGTCCTTAAAACGATCGTTTCTTTATAACTCCCTTTCCGGGCTATAGAAAACACTAATCTCTAACAGCTATTAAAGCTATTAAATCCTCGTTTTTAATTACTATTAGTAACAACTATACAGACCCGCCTAACATAGCGCGTTGCCTAAGTCAAAGAGAACATGCTTACAAACCTAGTACTAGGCAGTAAGGTAGCCTTGTCTCTTAATTGTTAGTCGAGTCTTACACGCCTTTTGTTTATAAGCGTTATAGTATATTACATTAATAAAGACTAGGTACTTTAAGAGGAGTT